GGGGGTCGGCGGGGGTGGGAAGGGCGGGGGGAGCGGGGGCAGCGGGCGGGGGCAGCGAAGGGAGGGTTCGGGCATGCACTGGAGCCCTTGAAAACACTCCATTCTAACAGCAGGGGTGGGAAGGGCGGGGGGAGCGGGGGGAGCGGGGGGGGCGGGGGCAGCGAAGGGAGGGCTCGGGCATGCACTGGAGCCCTTAAAAACACTCCATTCTAACAGCAAGGCAGCGGGAGGGGTGGGCAGGAGTGGGGCATGCACTAAACCCCCAAAAAACACGCCAGTCTGACAGCAAGGCAGCGGAGGGGGTCGGCGGGGGGGGGGGGGGGGGGGGGGGGGGGGGGGGGGGGGGGGGGGGGGGGGGGGGCAGCGAAGGGAGGGCTCGAGCATGCACTGGAGCCCTTAAAACACTCCATTCTAACAGCAAGGCAGCGGGAGGGGTGGGCAGGAGTGGGGCATGCACTGGAGCCCTTAAAACACGCCAGTTTGACAGCAAGGCAGTGGAGGGGGTCGGCGGGGGTGGGAAGGGCGGGGGGAGCGGGGGCAGCGGGGGGGGCGGGGGGGGCGGGGGCAGCAAAGGGAGGGTTCGGGCATGCACTGGAGCCCTTGAAAACACTCCATTCTAACAGCAAGGCAGCGGGAGGGGTGGGCAGGAGTGGGGTGGGAAGGGCGAGGGGAGCGGGGGGGGGGAGCGGGAGGGGGGGTGGGAAGGGCGGGGGGAGCGGGGGGAGCGGGGGGGGGCAGCAAGGCAAGCGGGGGGGGCAGGGGCAGCGAAGGGAGGGTTCGGGCATGCACTGGAGCCCTTGAAAACACTCATTCTAACAGCAGGGGTGGGAAGGGCGGGGGGAGCGGGGGGAGCGGGGGGGGCGGGGGCAGCGAAGGGAGGGCTCGGGCATGCACTGGAGCCCTTAAAAACACTCCATTCTAACAGCAAGGCAGCGGGAGGGGTGGGCAGGAGTGGGGCATGCACTAAACCCCTTAAAACACGCCAGTCTGACAGCAAGGCAGCGGAGGGGGTCTCAGGAAGGACTGGTTTGTAGGAGGAGTCTGAAAACCGTCTGCAAGCACGGCTCCTTACCCGAAAACCTCAAGGCTAAACCCTCAAAGAAGCGCCAAGAACCCAAATCCACAAGGGGCAACGCTGAACAGCTTAACCCCCGGGTTGAAAAAAAATGAACAACACATGGAGCCTCGCGGCCCTTTCGGGGACGCGAAGGCTCATCTTGGCTCTCCTCCTTCGATCGCTTCTCCTTTTTAAGGGTTTGGCATGGTTTTGGAGTTTGGGATTCGGGTTTTGTGTGGGTTTGGGGGCTTTGAGTTTGGACTTTCAAGTTGAAGGGAAAAGGAATCGCAACTTTGGAATGTAGTGGCAGGTCCAAGGGAACAGCGGTTCGGCGGGGGGGGGGGGGGGGGGGGGGGGGGGGGGGGGGGGGGGGGGGGGGGGGGGGGGGCGGGGGCAGCGAAGGGAGGGCTCGAGCATGCACTGGAGCCCTTAAAACACTCCATTCTAACAGCAAGGCAGCGGGAGGGGTGGGCAGGAGTGGGGCATGCACTGGAGCCCTTAAAACACGCCAGTTTGACAGCAAGGCAGTGGAGGGGGTCGGCGGGGGTGGGAAGGGCGGGGGGAGCGGGGGCAGCGGGGGGGGCGGGGGGGGCGGGGGCAGCGAAGGGAGGGCTCGGGCATGGACTGGAGCCCTTGAAAACACTATCAGCAAGCCAACAGGGGGTGGGCAGGAGTGGGGTGGCAAGGGCGAGGGGAGCAAGGCAGCGGGAGGGGGGGTGGGAAGGGCGGGGGGGGCGGGGGGGGCGGGGGGGGCGGGGGGGGCGGGGGGGGCGGGGGCAGCGAAGGGGGGATCGGGCATTGCATGGATCCTGAAAAAACTCCATTCAACGCAGGCAGCGGGGGGGTGGGCAGGAGGGGGTGGGAAGGGCGAGGGGAGCAGGCCAGCGGGAGGGGGTGTGGGAAGGGCGGGGGGAGCGGGGGGAGCGGGGGGGGCGGGGGCAGCGAAGGGAGGGCTCGGGCATGCACTGGAGCCCTTAAAAACACTCCATTCTAACAGCAAGGCAGCGGGAGGGGTGGGCAGGAGTGGGGCATGCACTAAACCCCTTAAAACACGCCAATCTGACAGCAAGGCAGCGGAGGGGGTCGGCGGGGGCGGGGGGGCGGGGGGAGCGGGGGGGGCGGGGGGGGCGGGGGCAGCGAAGGGAGGGCTCGGGCATGCACTGGAGCCCTTAAAACGCAAGGCAGCGGGAGGGGTGGGCAGGAGTGGGGCATGCACTGGAGCCCTTTACACACGCCAGTTTGACAGCAAGGCAGTGGAGGGGGGCGGCGGGGGTGGGAAGGGCGGGGGGAGCGGGGGCAGCGGGGGGGGCGGGGGGGGCGGGGGCAGCGAAGGGAGGGCTGGGGCATGGACTGGAGCCCTTGAAAACACTCCATTCTCAAGGAGGGGAGCAAGGCAGCGGGAGGGGGGGTGGGAAGGGCGGGGGGAGCGGGGGGAGCGGGGGGGGCGGGGGGGGCGGGGGCAGCGAAGGGCGGGCTCGGGCATGCACTGGAGCCCTTAAAAACACTCCATTCAACAGCAAGGCAGCGGGAGGGGTGGGCAGGAGTGGGGCATGCACTAAACCCCCAAAAAACACGCCAGTCTGACAGCAAGGCAGCGGAGGGGGTCGGCGGGGGGTGGGGGCGGGGGGAGCGGGGGGGGCGGGGGGGGCGGGGGCAGCGAAGGGAGGGCTCGAGCATGCACTGGAGCCCTTAAAACACTCCATTCTAACAGCAAGGCAGCGGGAGGGGTGGGCAGGAGTGGGGCATGCACTGGAGCCTTAAAACACGCCAGTTTGACAGCAAGGCAGTGGAGGAGGTCGGCGGGGTTGGAAGGGCGGGGGGGAGCGGGGGCAGCGGGGGGGGCGGGGGGGGCGGGGGCAGCAAAGGGAGGGTTCGGGCATGCACTGGAGCCCTTGAAAACACTCCATTCTAACAGCAAGGCAGCGGGAGGGGTGGGCAGGAGTGGGGTGGGAAGGGCGAGGGGAGCGGGGGGGGGCGGGGGGGGGCAAGACTATGGGTCTTCACTAGCGCCTCCCCCGCTCAAAGCTCGGGTCGGCGGATTTTAGGGAGTATCTCAACATGATGAGGATAACCAATTCCACTTGTGTCCGCGCAGCCTCAACAGGGCGTGCCTAAGGAGTTCGGCAAGATGTGTATGTTGACAAGTGATGCAGGGTGGTGTGGGAACGATTGAGAGGGGATGCCGGTGTCTTGCCCAGGCCCTGTCCTTTTGGCACGTGGCGGCGGCGCTCCCGGAGCTCCCATCTTCGCTTGGCGCGCGGCTTTCAAGAACCAGACCCTGCATGCGGCGCGCAAAAAAAACAAAGTGCCGGGCCCAAGCCCTACACCGGCCTCCGCCCAAAACTTGAACCGTCTTTGGGAAGTTGTGTTCATACATCTAACTGTCATTGCATTCCGAGAGCAGTTGAGACACCCCAGTCGGTTTTGATAGTGTTTGAGGTTGGGGATCTTTCTTGCAAGCTCTCAGTGCTCTGATTTCTTTCGATCACTTTGCCATTCGGAACCGGAAAGATGGAGAGTCCGGTGTTTGCTCGAACCCAAGCATGCCGGCGCTGTCAATTCCTCGTGGCTTCATTGAGCCTATTGGTCTTGACTTCTTGGTGCCGCAGCCATTTGCCAGCACTGAACCGTTTTTTGTCCCTGTGCTTGGACGCGGCGTTGGTCTCAGCCATCTCTTTTGTGCCATGATTTCTCACCGTTCAGCTAAGAAGCAGCGGTCTTGGTCTCAAGTCAAAGATCCCCAGCGCCATCAGGACCCCCCTATGCACCGGCTTGCAGCATGCTGGTGCCTTCTCTGGGCGCCCGGCTGGGCAAGCACTGAGGAGCACTGGGAACCGTGAAGGCCCTGAAAGGTCCTGCAGGCCCTGAAGGCCCTGAAGGGTTTAGGGTTTAGGGTTTTGGGTTTCGGGTTTAGGGTTTAGGGTATAGGGTTTGGGTTAAAGAACACCCTGAAATCTCCAGAGGTTTGAAGAATTCGAAACCCAGGCCTTCCACCTCCCAGCGCAACTTGGGTGCAACCAAACACGACGGAACTCGTGCAGAAGCTCCCGAGCATCGATCTTGAATCTCAAACCAGAAAATAATAAGAAGAGGATATGAAATATGAAGCCTTGAGGCAGAGCGAATGTGCGAAGGGGCATGTTTCTGGAGTCAAAATCAGGGGCATTCGAAATGATAGCAGACACCCCTCCGAACCCCAAGCTCAAACGCCACATCTGAAGTGCGAATCTCTCGCACCGCTTCTTCGGAAAAATAGAAAGTGTGAAGCAAAGGATCTGATGCGAATGCCTCATGCTGGTTCTCTCTTTCTCTCTCTCTCTCTCTCTCTCTCTCTGTCTCTCTCTCTCTCTCTCTCTTGTTCTGTCTCTTTGATGAGCGTCATGCTAAAAACGCACGCAGAAAAGCCTTGGAAGAGAGCTGCAAGCCCGAATTCTGAAAAGGAGAGCGGCTTGCTTCAGACGCTTGGCTTGCAGGGAGGGGTTCTGCATGCTTCCGCTTTGCTCGCCACGCTCAACCCCGAGCCCGACGGTCCATTGCTTGAGTCAGTGAAAGGAAACCTTTGATGCCAAAAGCTTCATAGCTCTCCCTAGCGGCACCTAGCGGCAGTGGAAAAGCAGGAGAGCTTGTAGATGTATCTCCTGTGGCGCTTTTCGATCTGGTGTTTGCTGTAGGGTAGGTGGTAAGTGATTTTCTCAAGCCTAAGTGTGGTGCTAGGCTTCACGTGTCCAGGCTTTTGGCATAGCGTCCTAAACCTTACCAGCTTCAGGCGGAAAGTGGGACATCTGCTCGCAAAGTGTGAGCTTGTGCTGCCCAAGTACTGTCAGAGTTACATAGGATGAATGTTGGTCTGGTCGCCACTACTTTGGGAATGCCTTTGCTGGAGTACTTGTGATGGGTGCAGCATAGTGGAGTCGTCGTGTGGTGGAGGTGGTGACGGTGTTGGTGATGGCGGTGGTGGCGGCGGTGCGTTTGTAGCAGTGTGGTCTGAAGGCGTGTGTGAAGAGCCAAGGATCCAAGGTGGCAATGCGGTGAGGGTCGATAAACATGAGTTGCAGGTGAGGGGTGGGGAGTGGGAAGGGAGCCAGGGCGGGCAGCATGAGTTTGGATTTTTGGTTTTCCAATGTACAAGAAGAGCGAAGTCGAGCAGTCTCTGCGGATGTAATTTGTTTGAGGGTTGGGGGTTCTTAGATGCTTTGCACGCTTGGTTGTAAACTGGGGCTGCTCTAGTCACGCTCTAGGGTCGCCTGTTTTGTCGCATGACGATTGTACATGCGGTGGCGTGTATTCCGGCGTTGTAAAGGCAACCTGGATGGTAAGTGAACCCACCTGGGATAGCAGCGTGGGGCATTGCACTGAAAACGGGGGGCCTGCCATAGAACGCCGCAGGAGCTGATCCGCGAGGTGACGGAGGCCGACCAACGCTTCGAGGGCCTCCAAAAGAATCTTGAGGTGCAATTATCAGAATCGGTGCAACTAATTATCATCCAGGGAAGGGAGTTCCCCTGCGCCGTACCCGCCCCAAGCAAGAATAGGGTGCCGTTTCGGGTGCTCCCCAGTGTAAAAGATGAGCCCGGACTGTTCTCTGGTGTTGTTGGGGTGTTAAAGATGCCCCAAGGAAGCTGACCGCTGTCTCGGAGAAAGTGGATGACATCGAGCACCACATGCAGGTGGCTTTAGGGCTTCTAGGGGGACTTAAGTTGGAACCCATGTGGGCCCTGAGCCCCCTGGGCCACACTGAACCTCTGAAACTTGGTCGAAGCTTTCAAGTTGCTAACGCACGTCTTACTAGGCAGTTCGTGACGTGTCCCCGCCCCTTGGTGCAACTTTTAGAGCACCCTTTTAGCACATCCCTATCGGGTCTCCCTGCCACAGTGAAACTTAACCTGAACTCCCACAGAGGCCAGGGAGTGGATTTTGTTCTCGCTGCTATAAAGCCCGGCTTGCTAAAGGCCTTCAGTTTGGGCCTTCTGATCCAGGTGACTGGAGCAGGGATGCCTTGCAAGGTCTTCAGATTGTGAACTTCGTTGGAGCAGTTTTTGAGAATACGAAGCTTAAGAGAAACATGGCGTCGGGTTATAGATGTTGTGCTTGCAAGTCCACCCGAGACGAAACGGTAAAAGCGGTATCCTGTGCCATCCAGGACAAACACCAGCAGCTGAGTGAAGATCTGCAGCAAGAGGTTAGCGACCTTGGGCAAGAGTTCCAGGCCGGAGTTGATCCTTGACTTAGGGCATTTGGCACGAGCTGCAGTACAAAAAGTGGTGTGGCTTCTTTGGAAATTCAGCGGCTTTTGATATTATCCTCAGGGATGTGATGCTTTGGGAACGGTAGATCTGTGCAGGCACTCGGTACACAATCGCTACATCTGGCTTAAGTCCTCCCATGTGAAGTGGCAAGGCCTCCCACGCAGAGCTCAAGGACAACTTGACGGGTGGCATCGGCTCCCTCGCGGCACACATCGAGGCTGCGCGGAGGGTCTGGAAGTACGCGTGTTCTTTGCTGTCGAGGTCGTTCTACCTGACGTCAAAGTCGTCTTGAAAGGATCCTATAGGAATTTGGAAAAGGGGGGAAGGAGAAGGGAAGGAACCTGGCTCTGGATGTGTCGGGGGCCCTTTTCGGCGGCCGGTGGAGGGTCGTTTGGGTCGGGGTTTGGTGCTGAGGTCAAGGGTCATGTGGAAGCCTTTTGTTTGTGAGAAGTTTGAAGCATGTTCCTTGCCAGTCCGAGCACGACGTGCTGGCCGGGAAGCTGAACCAGACCGCCGGTGCAGTTTCCGGGGCCAAGGACGCGGCAGAGCAGTTGAAAGGCTCAGCGCCTTGGCTTTGGGAGCTTTCGGGGGAGGCCGCTTTGGGCGGCAGGTGGCGGCAGCTTTGTTGTTGTTCGCTTTGGTTGAGAGTTGCTACGTACGGGGCTTGCAAAGCCCCTTCAAAGAGAAGCAAAAAGAGCAGAGGTTGGTGAGTTGGGGCAAAGCGTCAGCTCTCTCGCTGGGAAGGCGGGACGCTGGGGAGCTGTGTAGAAGCCACTTGGTGAGAATCAAAGAATCCTGCGGTCCTCCCGTATTTGGGGGTAGTTGAGGCAACAGTGGATCTGGGCGTTCAGTACCGGAGTTCTCCTCGCATCTGGCCAGGTTGGCGACCTCCAAGGAAACACAGCGGCTCTGAAGGCTGGGAAGTGGCTGGGAAGTGGCTGGGAAGTGGGAAGGGTGCTTTAGGGATCTTTAGGGATCTTTAGGGCCCCTGTACGGGTTCAGGGTTAAGGGAGAAATGTGTCGGGCCAGTGCTCCGGGTGCGGTCTTTGGTGCCTCGCCTGGGGAGGCAGGCGCGATGCCTCCTAAGCTTGCAAGCCCGGCACCAGTGCAAACCTACTGAGAAGACTTTTCACAAGACAGGGTGGCAGACCGAACCTTGTGCTTGTGTGTGTGTTTGTTGTTTGTGACTCAGGCCTTAAAGCCTTAGGCCTTGCTGCTTTGCTATGTGCAGCATTTAGGATCTTCTTTGAGGCTTGTGGTGGTTTGTGTGAGGGTCGCGAGAGGGGGTTGGCCAGGGAGCTGTGGACGCCACTGCCGATGTCATTGCCGACGCAGGCTCGGCCGTGAAACTCACCTGCAACACAGAGAGCAAGAGAGAGGGAGAGAAAGAGAGAGAGAGAGAGAGAGAGAGAGCGCAAGAGCGAGAGAGAGAGAGAGAGAGCGAGAGAGCCTTCAGATTCGGTAGCGCTTGCGATTCGGGGGATCTTGGAGTTGGAGGCTCTGCTCGGAGTTCTTGTGGTTGAGAGTGATTATAGGGGCCAGTCCAGAGTTTTGCGCCCGTGTTCTCGATGCTCCGACCCGAGCTCAGCACTCCGAACGTCTAGCTTTCACAGATCAGGTTGTTGAGGGATTCGAATGAGAGAAGATGAACGACATGGCCGAGAGCTGCGGCCCCCTTGAGTGTAGCTTTGGAAGGATGATAGGGGAAGTTTAAGGAATGGTCGGGCTGCTAGTAGCGCTTCAGATGTCCGGGCTGGGCTGACTCTGTTTTTCCTGCTGGTGTTGCAGATCGATGGAGGTTCTTACCAGGTCCCCTTAGACCTAGACTAGACCTTGAAGCCCCAACACCGAACTGCCCCCAGCCCTGCCTGGATGACGGAACTACAGGAGAATAACGCAGACTGTAGCGCCTTGACTGCGGCTACCATCAGACATGCTTATGGGCGGGTTGCGGGTTGGGTTGGCGGTTTCGGTGGGTGGGGTGGGGGGTAAATCTCAGGTTGAAGTTCCAAGGAGCACTCTGAGATCAGACCCTCCACAGCCACTCAACATGCCTTCACACTCTTCAAGGATCCCTACACGTCACGAAAATCACAAGGTCACTCAAAGCTACTAAATTGTGTAAATTTCCGTGTGCGTGAGCTTTGCTTTGGTCATTCCCGAACCTGTTTCTAATGTGCTGGGTTCACCTTCCACGGTAACAGCCCCAAGCAAGGCACTACTGCTGGCACACGCATGCTTCTAAGAGAGCGTTTTTGTTTGGAGCTGCGCGTTGTTGTTCTCAGGTGCCCCCCACAAGCCCCTGAGCCCATGAGGCGCAGACCATCAATGCCAAGCTTCGTGGCCCGGAGTCCTGCTGCAGCGCCGAGGCAAGACCAACACCCTCTTTGAAGTGAAAGGGTGTAGTATTCGGTGTGTCGTTTAGCGGAAAACTCTCGTTTCCCACTTGGAAGGATGCCAAAAACGTGCTCATCATCCAGAGCCCCAGCGCAAGTGCTGCCAAGACGCCCGGGCTGAGCAACTTGATTCATGGGGAAGCGCGCGCTCTGAGAGCTCACGTTTTGTGCACACTTGCATTCTCTACATGAGGGGGCCCTACATCGTGAGACACGGTACGGTCTACACCCTACATGCCGGTTCTCACGCCCGAATCCTTGGCACACGTTCAAGACGAACAGGGTTGAGATAAGCCAGCGCCCCCGCAGGACCTTCGACCGCCTTGGGTCCATTGTTGCCGCGAAGGGTGGCAACGTGCCTTGGATCCCAAAAATTCAGACTCCCACTTCCTGAAGTAGCAAGTAAGACCCGAGGGCGAGCACAGCCGAAACCAAAACAAGGACATCCGTGCTCTGCGGACACCTGTGTCTCACAGCCTCCAAAGGAACCGGGCAACCGCTCGCAAGGTGTCTTGTTGCTCTTCCTTGTTGCTTCCCCGTACTCTCTCCTTCTGTTGATCCCGAACTCTCAAAACCAGAAGGCAGCAGGTTTAGCTGCCCAAGTCCCAATGTCGGCCTCGGGTGTTTGGGAGGTTTCCGGGGCGGTGGGAAGGCCTTCAAGAAGCTGCTGAGTGACGTGACCGTCGAGGATTTCAAAGGCGTGAGCACGGTGATTTTCTCCCCGCAGGCGGAGTCACTCCGGGGTGTTTTTGCAAATTGTAGATCCAACGCCGTGGTCCGCAGTGCTCTTTTGTTTGCTTGCAGGCCTGTCCCAGAGTTTCTCTGTGCAGAACTTCCTGTTGAGATTACATGAGGTTACCTCACAAACCACCTGAACCCTAAAATTCAGGATTTGGGACTTCGGAACCGTAGTCTGCGGTGACTGTGTGCTTCCGTTATTTCTTGTTCTCGGCACTACATGAAAAAGCACATGCAATCGACGGCAGAACAGTTACCAGCTTAACGGTTCGTGACATCGCAGTGGGTAGCAGCTGTCTCGTATTTTGCCCCCACGTCGCGGGCTGGTTTTCTGAGTTGAGTGCTCATACTCAGAGTCTATCAGCCGTTTGCCCGTGCCTAAGCCCCCAAACCTAAGGCCCCCGCACAACATAGCAAAGGGCTCGGCTTGTCCAATACACCCTTCAGACCATGTCGCAGGGCGCTGCAGCTGACAGTGCCATGCGGGCCCGTCTTGTCACCGACTGGTACAACTACAACAAGTGAGCCCGGGCAGCACTTTTCTGAGGCATTCTGTTCTGCAACGTGCAATGATGCAAAACCTAAAAGATGAATTGCCTGCGACTGTCAAGTGCGCCGGGCTTGCCTCTAGGGGAAGCGAGAAAATCGGGCAAGCGGGCTGCTTTCGAGGTGGGTCAAAGGCTTTGGGAGGTTGCAGACTTTTGTGAAGTCCTGAAGGTTTCGGCTTCTTTGCGGCTTGAACCCTAAGCCCAAGGCGGTGTCCTTGTGGTCTTGGCGGAGCTGGCCACAGGTCACGGCCTCGAAGTGGAGACACATCCACAAGCGTGGAGTGCGCATTTTCCATGGGAGCATCCTGCGACAAGTCCCGCGACGTTCTGGGCCACAAGAGCTTGCCGAGTCCTGGACGTGACCCCGTAGGAAAGATGTGTCGTGTTTGCAGTACAGATTTGAAGCCCAGGCTCAGACCCGAACGACGCCGCGAACCTGGCCAACAGTGTCCTCGAGAGCATCCCGAACGCAAGAAGTATATATATATATATATATATTATTATTATTATTATTATTTTTTTTCTCGCCGTGTCGGGTTCGGGAGAGGCAATGTCTCCAAAGCTCGGTGCGATCATCACATTTTGTGACCAGACTGCCCAAAACGGCCTGGCCATCCATTTGCACGACGTGTGTCTTCCTTTACCGGCATCCAGATGGGATGACGTCGTCATCCTGAGAATATTCATCCAAATTGCTTTATCCAGGAAGCACAGAGATCATGCTTGAAGGGTGTAGGCCAGGACGGCTAGGAGTCAGTCATTGTAGCTTTGCTGGAGAAAAGGGCTCCTCCTGTAGGTCGCTTTGCGCGGCTTGTTCTTTGCACAGTTTAGGAAGGTCACGTCCTGCAGGAGACCTCCGGTCTACGGAAGGTCCTCCATATATATATATATATTTCATATATATATATATATATATATCGCTGTAGCCGAAGGTCTGTCTCCTTCCACCGATCTGCGCGTCAGCGCGAACCAACTCGGCCCAGATGCTTGCGCAGCTGACCAAATCGTGGCTGGCTCGCAATCGGCCAAGCGATCTACGTCTTGCGGCAACCTTACCCTGAAGCTTCAGAAAAACCGTCCTGCATCCTAAAGTTCTAAGCATGCCCCAAAGCTCATAAACAGTGCTGCCGCCATACGTTCTAGTCTTGCGCAGGTTCTGAACCTGCGGACGTGACAGCAACCACCAAGCCTAAACTCCAAACTGAATCTCTCTTCACGAGAGGAAGCATATGGAGCCGACCCCTTTTTCACGGCCGCAGTGTCCGGGCTCATGTCCACCTCGAGCAATGAGGCTGGCGGGGGAGGCTGGGGGGCCCTTCCCAGGTTGATGTGTCCAGTCTCCTCGGCTTGACTGGCTCAGGGCTCAATTGAGAATTAAAGCGGATCTGAGTTGAGTTTCAAGAGGAAGCTGCTTTAGAACCCTAAACCCTAAACCGTAAACCCTAAGCCCTAAGCCCTAAGCCCTAAGCCCTAAGCCCTAAGCCCTAAGCCCTAAACCCTAAACCCTAAACCCTAAACCCTAAACCCCCTTAACCCCTCAACTCGGCTGGCTTCTGGACGCCTGTGAGGTGCTTGGTGGGGGCCGGGCCCTGCTCAACATCGGCAGCCGCTGGGAATTTTTAGGGTTGAAGGGGGTTTAGGGTTTAGGGTTTTAGGGTTTTAGGGTTTTAGGGTTTTAGGGTTTGGGAGCCAACTCGGCGACGTCGCGACGTGTGCACACAAGGGTGAACGAAATCATCTCTTCTGAGTTCGAGCTCAGAAATCCCAACAAGCGACACCTCCTCGAACCCAAGGCCCCAAAAACCAGACTCTACCCATACCGCACGAGAAGCCCCTAAACACTGAGCCCTAAACCCTAAACCCTAAACTGAAGCAACTGAGAGACCAAAGTTGTCTCGTTCCTCTATACTCCTTTTGCTGCCATATGACATCAACCAATCTTTATGTTGACCTGGCTTAGAGTTACTCTGAGGCATGGTCGGCCCTCCTTCCGTTTGAGCGTGGGGGCCGTCGGCCTTGCACAGCAGAGACGTCCAAACCACGCGGCCCGATGCCCCCACCCCGAATCCCAAGACGACCCGAATCAGCTCTCAAAAGCCCCCCCTCCCCCCAACCGGACCCGAAACGCGCTGAGTTTCAGACCTAGACAAGTATGTCAAAAAGCCGCCGGCGCTTCTTCAGGCAAATCCATTGCGCGCCTGGACCACACAGATCGGCTGCTGGTGACTCCCGGCCACTTTGGTGTTGCGTTGGGTTCCGGAGTTCAGTTGATCCTTGAAAGCTCCATTCTGGGAATTTTGAAAAAGGAAAGGTGGCCGAGGGCCCCAAAGGTTGTCACAGTTCCTCAGCTTCTAGAAGTTCAGAATATTTCTGGCTCTGCTCAAGATTGCGAAGCTCCAACCGTCCTAGAAGGTTTCAACCTCGAAAAGCTCTAAAGGCTCTGAGGTCTGCAGGCTGCGAAGTTTCGAAAGGTCAGGTCGTAACAAGCTCTTCTGGGCAGGTGCTGCTTTTTCAAGGTTGAGAGCTTGTGCAGCCAAGGGAAATCTCACCACAAAGAACGCCGCCAAAGAAGTCCCGACAAAGAAGGGGGCCCCAGAAAGTCCCCGATATGCACCCCCCCCCCCCCCCGCAAACAAACAGCGCGGGTTGAGTCTCCTCTAGACCTCGTTAAAACCTCTCGAGACCTTAGAAGTATTAAGTAGTTGAACGATGCATCGCCCAAATTGTTTTCCATGGAGTGTGAAGAAAGTGGCTCGTGACTGTCTGACAGATGGTGCAACTTCATGGGGGTGTCCTTGAGCAGTGAAGCCAACCCCCAGCTGCTCATATAAGGATCGGCGATGACGATTTCCTGAACGACGAGTGCTATGCGTCGTGGACCCAAGGCCACCGCGTGTATTGGGGCTAAACGTTTTGACGGTGTGTGATTGTTCTAGGGGTTGATGTTTCTGCGAGATACGTAGGGTTTTGCGATGGTTAGAGCTCACTGGTTCACGTGGTGCAGCAGGCACTCAACGTGGTACCCGGTATGTGCAGAATCTCTGAATTTTTCATGATTTCCGGCTTGTGCCTGCCACTATGCCAGTATGCCTCGCTCAGCCTCGGTCTCTTGTCCAAAAACATGCAGTCTTGGGCCTGGCCTGTTATCGGTTCCGAAATATTGCAAGTCAGCGCCGGGCTAGACGAAGTACGGCCGTTTCGGTACAACGCGTGGTTAGTCCGAGATCCAATTCCCTCTGATTGGGCCTCGGGTCTGGATCTTTGGCCACATCTCACCTGCCTCTACCCACGACATGGTCCCAAACTTCAGCCAATTTGCAATCGCCACGAACGCATCTACACCGGGGTTGCCCACACAAAACAAGAAAGAGCCATAACAGTCATGGCAATCATAACAGTCAAAGCAGTCATAGCACAATCGTAACAATCGTAACAATCATAACAATCGCATAACAACCCGAACCCCTGCGTGGATCTTTTGGCGAGCCGCTCAAGTTGGCTCAGCAACATCCGCGGCCGGTTTCAAAATCGCTCTGCCTCTTAAAAGCTTTAAAAGCCATGGGAAGCGGGGCGCAGTCGAAGTTGTCCGAAGCCTCCGAGGAGGAGCTGGCGGGTGTTTTCAAGGACCTACCAGCTGAGACCCAGAAGAGCGTCGAGGATGCCTTCAAAGCGGCGAAGGCAGAAGCGGCACCTGGGCTGGCATGCCGCTCGGCATCCGGCGAGGTGACGCTGCTGCCATGCACGCAGACATGGACCTACAAGGAGATGGCTGCCGCCTTGCGGGAGAAGCATCCCGAACTCAAGACCCAGGTCATCAAGTTTCTTGTAGCAAAGGAGCCCATGGACGAGTACAAGACTGTAGGCGACCTGGGCTTGGAGAATGAAGTGGAGTACACGGCTTCGGAGTTCTCCTACGGGGAGAAGATCAGCATGGAGGAAGCAGTACCGCTCATTGAGGAATCCTGCAAAGGCATGGACGCAGTGGACAAAAACGGCATCGCGGAGCTTAAGGCCCTGAAGAACCCCCCAGACGTCATTAAGCTTGTAGGGGAGGCCGTGGCTTGCCTTCTGCAAGCGCCCCACAAGACTTGGGAGGACGTGAAGAAGATGATGCACAACACCGACTCCTTCCTGCAGCAGGTTGTGACGTACTCGAAGGACGAAGTGCCTCTCGAGGCCCTTGTGGAGCTTCAGTGGTATTTGAATCATCCCAGCTTGGAGCTCGAGAAGATAAAGCGCGCATCCGCATGTGGGACGGGTCTGATGGAGTGGGTCAAAGGCATCGCCGCCTACGCCATGATCAAGAAACGTCTGAGTTGAGTGGAGACATCAAGAGACAGTCGTGTCAGTCATGCCGGAGGAAAGCGAGCAGCGGGAATGTTCTTGAGAATTCCATTCTCCGCCGCCCCCTCCCGCGGCCCCGTTTCACCTTCTGGTGTTCTGACACTTTGAGGACTGGACGTGCTGCGGTGTCTGGCACAAAAGAATTCTCTTCCGTCGGGGCTTCGGCTTCGCTGAACTGCCCCTTTGCTCCATGGATTCTACATGCATTCTAGCACGGAAGTGGAACACCTTGAGTAGGAGTTCTTGAACAAAACACACTGGAAAAGTCCTGGGCATGGAGTGTTGCTGGAACATGATGCGTGAATCAGTGGGAGCTCCCAGAGCAGGAGAGCTGGCACCGGGAACTTGGTGCTGCTCCGAAGCTCAATCCAAAAAAGTGCCCAGACGCCAAGCCCGAAGCGCAGGCAACCTGGCCTTCATCGAGAACCTCTTCAATCTTCCACGCGCGCTGCTTCCGAACGCGTCTTGCATGCTTCTTCAAGTTCAGGACGTGGGTTTTTGGATGTTCGAGTGTGGGGGGCTTAAGCATTTCCGAGTCCGCCGCCATGGAGCTTGGGACCTAGGCCCCCTAGGCTTTGAAAGTGCTGAGAGGTCCTCCTTGCAATGATCAATCATCTTTCTCGGCGGCGCGAGTTTCAGTTTCAAATCTTGCAGATGGCCTTCGGGTGCTTCTTGAGGCTTGAGCCTGGAAGAGGCGGCGAGGCCGTGCGGCCCAGGGGAAACATGTGGAGACATGTTGTGGGGGTGGTGTGGCGAGGTGTTGCTGTTCTTGGGGCTTATAGGTTCTTCAGAGGACTTTTTCGCGCACTTTGGCCTGCGCATAGTCAATGTAGCGACCTCGGGTCGGTGTTGCGAGATTTAAAACAGTTTTTTTGGCCAAATGTAGAGCCGCCCCCCCCCCCTCCGAGAGAAGAATCGGAGGGTGCGCTGTGAGGCTTCGGGCCTTCCAGGGCATCGTCAGCTTATTGCCGGCTCCGCTTTGCATGGCCAAGTTTTGTGTCGTTTTGTTCAGTGACAGAACGGACTAGGGGTGGACCTTTGCCTGGGCTGTAAGAGGTCTTACTGCCCTAAATGCCTGAAGAAATCGACATCTGGCCACCTCACTTCCTAAGCACCAGACCATCCAAACCCTACTACCTCAATCTGAGCCACAACGCGCAAGAAACTGTCCTCGGTGGCTCTAGCATGGCAATTTTTTCATGTGTTGACGCAACGTGGCACAGCAATAGGAGCACAAGCATTGACGTGACATGAACATGTGTCCCGTGCTTTCAGTTCGAGAATGAGAATGGGGCAGTTAATAAAGAAGTGGTAGCCAGGATGCTGTAAACACTTAGGAAGAATCCCAGTAGAAGATCCTCCCAACATGTCTACCAGCAAGGTGGCTCCCTGCAAGAATCGCAAGCCCCACAAGCTCTGAAACCATCTCACGTGGGGGTTTATTGTGCGCCCGAAAACACGTGCATTGCTGTTTGTACCACGCCTGCCGGGATTGGGCTGAGTCATGTCAACCAGAATTTGGAATCAGATGCCTTAGATTGCACGTAACATATTGAAAGCTTTCACCATACCTTTTGCCGCACCTCAGTTTCAGGATTTTGTGTGCAATGAACATATGGATTCCGCGGGGGGGTGCAAAGAAATCGAGTGGCTGGAATCTGTATGTTTTGGGGGGAGACCTCGGACGTGGCAGCGAAAAACCGGAGTCTCAGAAAACCCAAATTCTGGGGACCGGATCTGATCCCTGCTCCACCCCTAGTGCAAGCTGTCTGACATCCGTCTTCTCGTGCTTCCCCTCCGTCAAGCGGAGTGGAGGTTCAAATAGTTCAAGCTGGCCAGGGTTCGGGAAGATGGTGGCCCTATGCTCCTGCGCTTAGGGGCCTTGGGGGACCTGGGGGGACAGTCCATGTCACACCCCTGAAGCCTGAAGCAAAGCCCCGAACCCCAAACCTCGTAAACCTGAAGGCTGAGCCCGCCGTGTAGAAGAACGCCCAAACCCCCAGATCCTTTTTGTAGTCCTTTAAATGCTCCCGGACGCCCCCGAAATCGGAGTCTGTCCAGCCAAGTTTTAATGAGCTCGGGGTTGTGGAAACTCTTTACACGCAGGGCCCTGCATGGCCCCCCCGCAGTCGGTGGCTAAGTTTGGTTTTGTTTGGCCGTTTTGGGCTTTAGGGCTTGAGGGTTTGTTCCCCACCCTTGGTGTGGGGTTGTTAGATTTGTATATTAAACTCTTCTCCTCGCCCGGTCTACTCCTTGCCCAAGCCCAGAGTGCCCAACCTGGAGCCCAAGCCCAGAGTGTCCTGGAGTGTTCAAGCTCAGTGTCGAGTGCTCAATCACCTAGAGAGCCCACCAAGCCCGAGTTTCCCTGGAGTGCCCAAGCCTATAGTGTCAATTTTTAGCTTGTGGAGTGCCCAACCCCAGAATGAGCCCGCAAAATTCGTTTACCTGCAGGGTGGGGATGTTCGAAGTAGAATAACTTTTTTTCTTTTTTGATGAAGGGGCTGCCCTGATAGTGCTAAGTGGAGGCTTTGTACTGTTTTTAAAGAGCATTTCGGGCTTGCTCCTTGTGAACCCTGGGCCCTGGATCTTAACATCCCAAGCCGCAAAAAGGACCCCAACACTTCCGATGAGTCGATGCTTCCCTAACCTGAACTCTTTTGACGCAAACAAATGTTTTTGGGCTTCTTCAATTCGCGTTTCTCGTGGCGGGCTCCGCTGGTCCTGCGAAGCAAGTGTGTGAAGGGAGTTTTGAAGCCGGGCGTGCAAAAACAGAGGACCGTGAAGCAGGGTTCCAGGACTTCTGCTCTTCGGACTTCCAGTGGTTCCGGGTTCGGGATGAGCTTAAGGAGGACAAGTCTCTCGGGTTAAAGGCACCCATGGTTTTCATTGAGTTCTGAGGCACCCAGGGTTTGGCGAGGTCAGGGGCCTCACAGGCCTATCAAATCCCAAACTCCTGAGCCCGATGCCCTGCTCTGCTCGCAGAACGTGAAGACCTAACAGGCCCTACGTCCTCACGTCCTCACCCGCTGTGGACGTTCCAAGGGACTTCCTGTACGTGACGCCGCAGGTTTTGGTTTTAAGAGGGATCGAAAACCATCGAACCTCCTTCTTCGTACAGCCTTGCCTGGCGCTATGTGTCTGGGCTGTTGTTTACGGGCTAAGCGGCTAAGGCGCGGCTAAGGGCCAAGCAGGCTGCTCTGTATGCGGTGATTCTAGAAAGGCTGCACACGTAGAGTTTTCAAACCCTGCTCTGCTTGAACTCGATAAGAAAACAGAGCGCCAGCAAAGCAAGATTAGAAAGAGAAAGGAACACCATCGGTTTGTGTTGTCCCATGTTGTCCTCTTGTCCGTACGTTTCTGTGTCAACATACAGGATCCTCTTTTTTATTTTAGGGTCACACTTGAGTCACGATTTTTGTTTTTTTCCGAGCATATGCAGCTTGCAAGGTGCGGCACATTTTGTTTCTACACGGCTAAATGCAAAGCTGTGTGCAGGTGCACACCGGTATGGCCCAGATGTTGATTTCATGGCCGAAGCACTTCAGGGTTATGTCGCGGAGAGATCGAAATAGACTCACCGTCAACCGACAATTCCAATTTTTCTTTGCATATGGCCGGTAATCAGCTTCCCTAATAGGTTTTCTTACAGAGAACTAGCCTGGCGTTGAGCCTTTCGGCAAGGCTGAAGCAAGTGAATTCCTCAGTACACGAAATCTATGAGTCAGCTTTGTCTTCGATGTGCATCTTCAACGTGAATGGCCGACTGCGTGGGCTGGATGCCAGTAACAGCAAGCAAAGCTGCTTCCCATCATGACTATTTTCGAGAAAGCAAATTTCGAAGCTTCGCCTCAGATTGCCAACTGGACGCGTAGCTGCAAAGAACTGCAGAATTGAAGTGCAAGGCAGTGCACCGAAAGTACCGCAAGCACTGGAGCTGGAAACTCTGGAAACTCTTCATTGGCACAAGTATGCTCTGCCTCAATGAGAGACCGCAGCCCCTCTACGGCAACCCCATAGTGAACTTAGGCCTCCGCTCGGGTCAGGATGCAGAGCTTCAAGTTGCCAGACACAAGGGAAGCACGTTTGCGCACACCTTTATTGCTGCGGAAGCGCTGCCATATCGTAGGGATCCTGGGACTCGGGAGGTTTCGAGCCTCGTTTTTTTTTTTTGGGTCTCAGGTTTTCTGTGCGAAGCTGTTTGGGAGAGTTGGCCCTTGACAAGACCAAGGCCGCATGGATGGCATGTTGCTTGGCAGGCCCCTGCTGATAGGGCATGTGCTTGGAGGTTCATGGTATTTATTAACCAATTATATCGGTACTTGTAACCCACTTATAAGCCTCTTAAGTGCCCAAATATGGTTATAAGTATAGTTGTAAGTACAGTTATAATTGTAAACGCTTGCGCGCGCCGCCTCGGCAGCCGGGCCGGCCCCAGGACAGGAAAGGAGGAAAGAGGGTTTCGCAAAAAAGGGAGGAAGGGCAGAGCGGGGGGAGGGGTCCGGCGGGGGGGGGGGGGGGGGGGGGGGGGGGGGGGGGGGGGGGGGGGGGGGGGGGGGGGGGGGGGGGGTGGGGGGGGGGGGGGGGGGGGGGGGGGGGGGGGGGGGGGGGGGGGGGGGGGGGGGGGGGGGGGGGGGGGGGGGGGGGGGGGGGGGTTTTTGAGGCACTCCCCCTGTAGGAGCCACCGACAAGCGGGACCCTCCACGGCATCGGTTTGCAGCTCCTCCAAGGGATTGGGGGGGGTCCCACAGGGCGGGGGGGGGGGTTGCGTCAGAAAATTTGGCACGGGGGGAAGGGTTGGGTTAGGGGGAAGGAGGCCCGATCCGGGTCTGCTTGTTCCAGACGCTTCTCGGCAGGAAGCCGAGGCGAATTGTTTAACAATTACCATGAACCTCCAAGTGGCTCTTTTTTGGGGTCTTGAAGAGATGTTCGTAAGCTGAATGCCCTGAATCCTGGAAAGCGCCGTGAAGACCACGCCA